CGGTTAGATTAGTTGGATGGAGGGTTTTCTATGCATTAGGGTTTTCTGTATTTGATTCGTGCAAGAATGGTGGACCACATATGATTATTAGATTAGGTTATAAGTAGCCGGATTGAGGGATGTGGTTTTTTCAGATGCTTATTAGATTAGTAGTTGAAATTTTGCTTCTTAGATTTTAATTAGTATGAGGTTGAACACATTATTTACGAGGGAATCTAAGGACAGATAGACAATGTATGATTATTAGATCTGTAGTTCAATTCTGCAGACATATATGATTATTAGATTTGATCTGTGGTTCAATGCTACTTGATGGAAACAGATTGGAATGCATTAATTTTGATGTGCCAATGAATTGATTTAGATGGTACTTGATTCATCTATAATTTTTTGTTGTTGTTCAGGTAGTAATGAAATTTTAGATGCTAGTTGGAGATGTATGCATTTATAGTTGAAGTTGTACCTAAGTAATTACTGCATTATGTTAATATATGTAGAAGCTTTGCTGCATTATTCCAAAAAATGCAACAACATACAAACTCTCTAGCTAAAGCATTCAAATGCAACAACAAATGCGATCAAAATTGATACTAGGGTAACAATTGATCCAACAACATAATGATACCAAGCCTCACTATCAATGGCATATTTTCTGATCTTTCTAATCTTCAAGCGCATTTTCTCCATCTTGATCTTGTGATCATCGACGACATCGCCAACATACAACTCCAGTTTCATCTTCTCTTCTTCAATTTTTTTTAATTTTTCTTTCAAATACTCGTTTTCTTTTTCAACTAAATTTAACCTCTCGACAAGAGGGTCGGTTGGAATTTCCGGTTCATGTACCTCCTAGATAAAAATATCTATGTCAACTTGATGGGCATAATTTTCCATAAACACGAAATGCAACAAATAGTTATAAAAGAGAATATACCACATCCGAATAATAAACCGGACGAGGGCCGACGGGGACGGATATCAAAACCATGGCACTATGTATAACAAACAACGATGTGCGGGTAAGAAAATTATACAAGTAACTATATATCTAAATCACACAAACATAATTTTTTTTTTGTATAAAAAAGATATGAACAAGAGGCTCACCAAGGTGTGCCTGCGACGGAACGGTGCGGGCGATCGACGGTGGTTAGGACGGGAAGGCACAAATTAAACCACGCCTACGTATGCAAACTAAGAGTTAATTTTGAGCTCAAATTGCATATAAATAAAATAAACTACCACATATAATAATTACTCCAAAACTAAAACCCACAAATCACTATACTTATAGAGCATTGCAAGAGCTAATCTAGCAATGAGAGATGAAAGGACAAAGTTGCTATCCTTTGTGATCACATGGATGGACGGAAGGCCTTCAAATCTTGACAATTTTTGGGCAAAATGAACGATGCGCTCGAGAGAGGAAGAACAGAGAGGAGAGGAAAGGGGAAGGACAGAGAGCTCGGGCTCGATGAAGGGTTTATATAGGAACATCTTTAGTCCCGGTTAATGATACAAACCGGGACTAAAGGTGAGCTTCTAGTATCGGTTTATGCCACGAAATGGGACTAAAGGTGTTGGTGGGGACCCAGCCTGCAACCACCTCTTTAGTCCCGGTTCGTGGCACGAACCAGTACTAGAGGTTCAACACGAACTGGGACTAATGAGTGCCGCCCGCCTAGCCGTTGGAATCGGCACTAATGGGCACGTTAGTGCCGATTCGTAATTGAACCGGTACTAATGAGGTGAACATAAGGTCGTTTTTCTACTAGTGTATCAATCAGAGGTAAGTGGACAAAGGAATGCAGATGTAGGTGTGGCTTAGGATGGCATGGTGTTTGGCTTTGAACTACTTATTGTTTCCAGATCAATGACAGAGAAGAGAGCAGAGCATAGTATGTGTGCATGTATACGTGATGGAAGATTGTATCTGAAAAAGGAGCATGCAAGAATGCTTGTTCTCTGAAGGATGGTGTGAGCTTTCCTTTTAGGAACCAACGGATATGTTATTTTTTAGAATAGAATCTTTCTTTACTGCAGCATGACTGCAAGAATAATTAATAAGGAAATTAAAGCAAGAAAGCTCCCCTCCATGATGCCATGATTGAGATGGGCAAAAGCTCTTTAATACTCTGTAGTTTAGTTAATCTCCAGCAAAAAGTTGAGTTGGACCCCCCTGATTATCTTATACCGTATTCCTATCTTAGTGGAGGATGCAAACAAGTATGGAGTTAAATAGAGAGGGATGCTGCTCTCCTGCCCATCTTGCACTGCATGCGAGTTATGTCATAACGTGTGAGCATTTCTTCAGTAGAAATCAAACAAGCATAAACACCGCAGCGGAAGAAACCAAGAACTTGGGTTGAGTGTGATTACAAGTAGAAGAATCTAGCTAGAGTGTTGTTTGGGATCCTGATGTGTTCAGTGGACAATGTTTAATTTTGTAGAGGCCAGGACATCCAGCTCTGTTTTTTGAATATTCTAAATCTGTAGCGAAACTCTGAATTTTGTATCGCTGATCCGTATATACAGCCTTGAAGACAAATACTTGGTGGCTTTTCAGGTATTAGAAACGTACATGCTAGAGTTGATTGATGATGCCGAGTGGAAGCGGTGTGAAAGGTTTTCATAGTTTTCTCGGTTGATCAGACCCAAACAAGCATAAACACGAACCATGATTCAGGGTACCCTGCGGTGGTATACCCCGTTTGGTCTGCGGAAACAAATGTCAAGGAGCTTGTTCTTCATAGTACATGATTCAAATGTTTACTGCAACCGAATCCCCATAATTAGAACAGAGGGAACAGACAAAGAAAAATATGCAACATCCGAGTACACGTAGATGCAGTCGCTCGTTTGTGCAGATTTCAGTGCATGACCATGCATAGGGGCCACATAATTTCAGTGCATAATCAGTACATGATTTTGGAAAGGCCAGAACATTGTAATCGGGAATCGAACATGGTAGCTCATGTGCTAGCTCTTACAGGATGTGTTGATCCACCAAACTTGTGATTGGACTACCTCCTATATTTATTCTTGAACATATAGGAGACGATGTAAGCGTTGTTTAATTTTAATAAAGCTAGCCATGAAGGCTTTTCCGTCGAGAAAAAATTATTCATCGATGCATATGGATTTGTTATGAGCAAGTAAGGTATAGGCATGCACGGCTCTGTACAACCCAGTTTCTGGACTCTATGTACATTTTGCACTGAAAATGAACTGACACCTTTGTACATGAAAGAAAATAAATGCAACAGACATCTTGGAGGATTAGCACCATCTCTCTCTGCCGCCAGGGAAAGAGACTTGGAGTTCGGGGGAGGTGCAGGCGGCTGGTGGTGGAGAGGAGCGATGGGCAGCAGCCTCTCCGAGACCACCTCAGCTCCATCTTGTACACGGCCGACGGCATCGGAGGACGAGGAGGCGGCGACATTGGCATCGGGAGGGCGGATCTCGATTCTAGACGGAGCAGGAGGAGCGAGGGGCCACTGGAGGAGGGAGGCTGTCGTATCGATCGCCCATGGTGTCCTTCAAGGGAGGGAGAAGGAAAGCAGGATATTATGAGGATTGGGAGGAGGGAGATGGGTTCAAGAATGAATCGGGAGAGTGCCATATTTTAGACGAGAATGAAGATGAATTCATCGCGCCCCACAGATCTGCAGTAAACAAAGCGTGCTCATAAGGTGTGGCAAATTAACTATGCCTAAGCTGCGTATATGTATGCATACCTCGCATCCTTTCCGCCGCAGCTCCTTTAGTGTGATGTCATCTTCAGAAATCTGGTCCATATAGCTCAGCTTCAGGTGACCGAGGGATGGAAGGTGCAGTAATCCTTCCGGGACCTTGCTCATCTTTATGCACCACATAAGTGCCAGGTGGGAGAGCTTTGGCATTGCCCCTTCCTCCATCCTCCACACCTCGGTGGAAAAACTACCAAGTAATAACTCTTGCAGCCGAGGGAACCCTTGGGAAGAGCAGCACATGGTCTGGACTTTGTACCCCCACAACCTCAACACCACAAGACAGGGAAGCTTCTCCAGGATCGGCATCGGGTCTTGTTTTATGACATCAGCAGATAGAGAAAGAGAGCGTACGCTTTGTGGGAACTCGGCAGGCAGCTTATCGAGCACATCAAATTGGTAGAGACTAATATCAACCAGGTGAGGCATGTTTGCAAATATGTTGACCACCTCCGCTGGTATATTGGGTTGCATCGACAAGGAGACCGTTGTTAGTTGATTCAGCTGGCCCAAGAAAATCATCATGTCATGACAGCGGAAATCAGTGCCAACAGGATAAAGATGCAACACAAAGCTCTGTAGCTCTTTCGGCTGCAGTCGCACACTCCTTGCAGGTGGCGGTGGAGAAAACCCATTGTCAAGGTAAACATGCCTTAGAGTAGGGATATCCCACAGAGAGTTTGGTACCACTGACTCAAGTTGTGTGTGTTTGAGATCTATAGTCTGCAAGTAAAGGAGTTTGCCAATTGAAGAAGGGAGCGCCGCACCATGACAATTTCTCAACCTAAGCAATCTTAGGTGAATGCACCCACCAATTACAGTCGAGAAATCATTTAGTGCTGAATCTTCAATGCAAAGAACTCTCAGGAATCTCAGCTTAGGAAGGGACACTGATGAGAGTTTAAAGCCAAGCAAACTTCGGACATTAGGTGTCGCAGGTAAAATCTGATAACTCGAAGTTTGAAAACTAAAACGATAAGATATCAAGTTATCAGATGATGATGATGATGCACCAGCTTGGTCTGCAAATTTTTTTAGAGTGCACCACATGTCAGGCAGAAGCTAGCCATATATAAGTACATATAGCAAAATAGAAAATTGAATCAATTAATAGGAAGAGATCAGGAGACAAAGGCTGACCTACAGTTTTGTTGCTGGTATCAAGAAAAACATCTTGTCTTGCTTCTTGTATGCACCAGTCATGCAAGATATCGTGAATCCTTATTCTGTCTATCCATCCATGTGTCGTACTTCTGTCAACAACTTGGACCAAGCTTCTCTGAGCCAACTCGATTACATAGCTCCGTGCTGTTTCTTCTAGTGTATGGTTTGGTGTATCTGGAATGAAACTTTCTGCTATCCACAACTCAATAAGATGCGGCACATGTATTTCATAATCCTCAGGAAAAGCAGCAAAATAAAGTAAACAAGATCTCAAATGATGATTCGGTAGGTCCTTGTAACTGCGTGCCAGTATGACACTCATCATTTGTCCATCCTTGGTTGCTGGCCAATCAGAGAGTATATCAGACCATATTTGTGCATTTAGATTTTTAGACAGATAACCTCCCAAAACTCCAAGTGCAAGTGGCAATCCATCACATTTCTTTGCAAGCTTTCTCCCAAGCTTTTCAAACTCGTCCACATCACGTATGGCATACCTTTTGTATGGTGGTAAAGCTTTGCTGCTAAAAAGATCCCAACTTTTCTCTTCATCCAACTTCTTCAAATGATGAACATGGGTTGGCATCTGAACATGATTTGCGACATCTTCCTTTCGTGTGGTTAACAGCACTCTACTACCATTAGTTTCATCTGGAAAGACTTTAATCGTTCTGTTTAATTTCTCCCATGTATCTGTTTCCCAAACGTCATCAAGAACTACTAGGTACCTTTTTTGTGATAGAAATTCATTGATCTTCTTTCCCACCTCATACTCTTTCATTTGGTCAACAGACTCGTCCTTGTGCCCTGTGATTTGTTTCATAATATTCTTTCCCACCTCATACTCTTTCATTTGGTCAACAGACTCGTCCTTGTGCCCTGTGATTTGTTTCATAATATCCTTTAGTAAATCAACACCCTTGAACTTTTGAGATACAGTCACCCAAGCAAGTGTGTCAAAGTGCTCCTTAACTCTAGATGAAGTGTAGACTTTTCTAGCAAGTGTTGTTTTTCCTGCCCCGCCCATGGCAACTATAGACACAACACTAAGCAGGTAATCATTGTCAACTAACTTGTCCACTATTTCTTCGTGCTCATCCTCAAAACCAACCATGACAACATCATCTTCAGAGTTTTGATGTATAGGACCATCATCTTGTGGAGACTCATCCTCAACTAGAACATTATTATCCAAATTAATATTCAGTTTTTCCGCACTTGCAAAAATCTCATTGAGCTTCCTTCTTACATGCTGAATTTCAACACCGATTTTGCGAAGGGCGACCAAGTCAGTCGGTAGGCGAGCATACCTTGAAATAGCACCCATGAATCCCTTCTTGAGCCTGTTTCTCTTCGCCATGTGATCTGCAGCTTCAATGATGTTCTGAGCTTCATAAGCCGCATCCCTGATCTGGCTCACCAAGACTGCAACCCTTGCATTTCCTGATCTCCACTTGCTATCAACATCTTTGAGGTAGGCCTTCAGCCTCATCAGTTCATCTTTCAACAACCCCACTTCAAGGTTGACTGCACACAAGAATGTGGTCTCCTGGACTGCAAGACTGCCCACGCTCCCGAGCACGGTGCTCACAGCCGACTGCGCCATCGCCCCTTTCTTCGATACCCCCTCAAATACAGGGAATAGTTTGGTCGTCAGACTCGGATCAGCAAGAACGGATGGCTTGTGACGCTCAATGCTTGATCAGCTAGCTAGTGTGCATCTCCCTCCCATTAGCTTGGTCAGGCTCGGACTGCAAGCCTGCAAGTAGCCATGGTTGACCGTGAGAACATACTGTACCGAGGAGAGAAGGATAAGACGAGAAAGAGAAAAGGTGGAAGAGACAGATCTGAGAGACTCACCGACGGGATTGTGCAGACTGCGGTCGACGGGAGCAGCGCACCATTCCCCGGCGGCTTCAACCACAGCACGGGCGGCGGTGCTTCCCCAGTCCAGATCCCTCCACGTGGCTCGCTCTCCGAGACGCCGAGGCCTCCGTGCACGGTTGCGATGCGGGGTGTTAGCAGTGTAACGGCGTTGTCCTCCCTTGGACGGTGTCGACGGTGGCGTGCTCGGCCGGCGACTGTGGCGCTGTGCAGGCGGCGGCTCCAGGAGAGAGGGAGAGAGCGAGAGACGGAGAGAGTGAGTGACTGAGAAAGTGCAGCTGCTGTTTCTTACACCGCTCACATGCCAAGACTCGAAACAGTGGTAGCTAGTCTATGCGTGCAGTGAATTATTGCGGTATCACATGGACACAGGAAGATGATAACGTTCAACGTTCCTCTATCTGACCCAGCCGGTCCCACTGCATCTACTGCTGTTCGCGTGGGTCAGGTTCAGTGTTTTTATTTTAAATTAAACAGAAGAGGGGTCTGGAAGGACCCCGAATGTGCATCAGATATTTATGCGAACAGTACAAGCAACAATTACACAAAGACCAACATAGCACAGAAAATTACAGAGCAGTCCTTGCTTTTTGCAAAGAGGACCACAGAGCAGAAAATAGAAAATCAATCTAGTCCTTAAACACAGCACCAACCGGAGACGAACCACTTGGGGCGGCGGCTTCGCTGCGCCATCTCCATCAAGCCTGCAGAAGCTCGGCTAATACTAAACTGCCTCCCATCAGACGACGGCGCATCAGAAGGAAAGAACGGAGCCGACGAGGCTCCAATAGGCCGCCCTCCGACCAAAAGAAGCACGCGGAAGCCAGCAAGCAGGTAAAGTGGCATCCCCAGTCCACCAGGTTTAAATTCTGGTGCTCGCATTATTCCTGTATTTATTTTAGGATTTTCGCCGATGCGCTTTCAGTCTCAAGATGATATGCCGGCCCAATTTCTCGAATGTGCTCATAGGGGTAGTGTGTATGTGTGCATTCATATGGGTGAGTGTATGCGCGTATGTACGAGCGCTTCTGTAGCACCCATCTGTAATGAGCTACAGCGACCCTCGTGTTTAAGCTAAGTCATTTTGATTTGCAATGCTTGATCACCTTTGGAATCATATCTCATTTCAAACTCCTTCACTGATTCAAATGCAATTTGCAAGTGAAATTTAAAATTGCACAAAAATGGTTGCAAGTGGGTGGGTGACCATCTCTTGTATATATAGCATGGTGGAGAGATGCAAAGTCAAGTATATTGTTTAGCCTGAATATTTCTGTACATGACAAGATAGTTGTGTGCCAAAATTTGGGGATAATTACATAATCGTTGAATTTTAAATACCTCAGAGACTTCCAGCTTTAGTGGGACTAGATACAAGTGATTGCTTTGAGTATCTAATTGACCACATCAATCAGTTGGTGAGTGGATGAAAAGAGAAGCTATTATCGACAGGAGGAAAGGAAACATTCACTGGTAGAAAAAGGGCCTATAGTCCCGGTTCGTAAGGGCCTTTAGTCCCGGTTCCTAAACCGGGACTAAAGTGTCGGTACTAATGCCCTGACCCTTTAGTCCCGGTTCAATCCAGAACCAGGACTAAAGGGCGCGGCCACGTGGAGCTCCACCTTTAGTCCCGGTTGGTAACACCAACCGGGACTAAAGGAAATTTTATGATTTTTTTTTGAAATTTTTTTTGAAATTTTTTTATTTTTAAACTTCTGAATTATTTTAACCTCTAGTCTGTAATCACCACCCCTCATCACTTCTCAATTTATCCTCTAATCATCCCTCATCACTTCTCAATTTATCCTCTAATCACCCCTCATCATTCCAAATCATCTAACTTCCCGAACGGTCACCCATCCTCCCACTCCCCCAGCCTGAGCACACTTAACTTCCAGGTTCTATTCTCCCCCGCTCCAAGTCTGCACTTGTTGTTTTCCTGACAATACTAAGATGTCAATCCTATTAACCTTCAGGAATTTTGCTTGAGCATGAAGTGACATATTTCACTCTTGAAACTATTGTTTTAAAAAACAATAATTATTTAGTAACACTAATATTTCTTGAATAATTAGTTTGACCATTGTTTGACCACAGTTTGACCAGATTTGACCAAAATTGAAATAACTAAAATAATTATTTAGTAACACTAATATTCTAGAATAATTAGTTTGACCATTGTTTGACCACAGTTTGCCCACTATTTGAATATTTTTCAATTTTTTCCACTCTAGATCTTAAAAGCCCCGTAACTTTTTTTCTATCAGGTTTTTGAGGATTTTGAAAATGTTTAACGGGGACTAAAGCCCCACAATTTGGATGTAACTTTTCGAGTAGATGATTTTTCATATAAAAAACTTTTTCATCCGAGTTAGTATGCAAAAGTTATGCCCATTTTTACAAATTTCAGAGAGATTTTGCAAATAAAGTCAAAATTCACATTTGCAAATTTTCCCAACAACTAGAGCACATATCACATGAGAAACTTATTTTCTTTTATTTTTT